CGGTAGCCCTTGGATTATTCTTGTGTCTTGCCCTCTATATACCCGTTGCCTTTATCTGACCCTTGCCTGTCTCTACCATGTCTATGAATAAAGCCTTGCATTTGGATCCGCACGTCTCACGTCTCGTCAGCCCCGTAACACCAGGAAAGACTAAATTTAATCTGTGACAGCCAGATAGACTAAACTTGTCCACAGTGATATATTGAATTTGCATCACATAACTTATTGCAATTATTGCATAAAAACACATGTACACTAGGGATGGGAAGATTCCCCGATTCGCTCGGTGCATCGGCATAAAAAGTTAACGATGCAATGCATCGGTTTAAAAAGTGTGCATCGGTTACAAGTTGGCATTTGTATCGCGATGCATCGTTTCTAACATATTTGCACCAGTAAAAACAGATTTAGTTGCTATTGGTCAGTAGAGGAGCTTAGCCTGACAGTTAGCCTGCTTTAGACCAGGTTAGTTTCCCAGCATAAGTTGCCACGGTGACTGAAGTTGATCTATGTTAAATTTGCTTTATGGAACCAAATCATTTGACAATGAGTCAGACTAACTGAAATAAGCCTGGCTTATTTGGTTAACTTGTTTTATGAAACAGGCCTCAAAGCATGAAAAGTTATCATATTTTCTCCATTGCATCGTATTGCATCAAATCGCATTGTGTTGAATCGAATCGAATCGAAATCGGATCGCACTGCATGGTAACAGGGGCGAATCGCATCGCATCGCTAGCTGCTTCACATGTATCTTTAATGTATCGTATCGTTGGCTATGCATCGAGATGATTATCGTATCGGCCTCATGAGATGCACATCCCTAATGTACATGATCAACAAAACATAGCAGGTCCGTTAACCTGGACCTAAACTCTCTCAAGGGCCCCGGGACATTCTTACTGTTGAGCCCTGTGTTTCCGGTTACAACCAACCAGACATACGTGACCCTGGAGCACAAAAGCAGTCTTAAGTCGCTGGGGGATATTTGTAGCAATAGCCAACAATACATTGTATGGGTCAAAATTATACATTTTTCCTTTATGCCAAAAATCATTAGGATATTAAGTAAAGATCATGTTCCATGAAGATATTTTGTAAATTTCCTATAGTAAATATATCAAAACTTAATTATTGATTAGTAATATGCATTGCTAAGAACTTCATTTGGACAACTTTAAAGATGATTTTCTCAATATTTAGATTTTTTTGCACCCTCAGATTCCAGATTTTCAAATAGTTGTATCTCAGCCAAATATTGTCCTATCCTAACAAACCATACACCAATGGAAAGCGTATTTATTCACAATTTCAGAAAAAAAAATTGACCCTTATGACTGGTTTTGTGCTCCAGGGTCACATTTGCATTCATTATTTCCAAAACTGGTCTTTCCATCTGCTCAACTTCTGGTTTCATCAATTATGGTCAAGAAAGAGGATGTTGTTCTGAAAACATCACAGTGAAACTGATGACTGAAGCTTTACTGCATGAAGACACATGTCAATCTGACTGATTCATGACACCAGATTCTCTGCTTCAGCTTCTGTCTCTCACGTGCTTTTGACTGCATTATTTGTCCAGGGGATCTCACTTACAGTCATTATAACATGCTATATTAGTTTCTGAGCACTGTGAGGATACATAAAGACAGACAGGAGCTTGATGTAGCAGACCCGATACGTCTGTTTATGCTGAAGTTTGCATGGATACGCATTCACTCACCCTCTATTTTTACCCTGTCTTTAGTTTGTTCAGGAAAAGGAAGTTATTAGTACTGTCTTGAGGGACTAAAATTGCTCTGAGATCCGCTTCCCAAAATCTCCCTAAAGCCTTCTGAACAAAACCAAAAATGTGGAATAGGATTTTAAGAGGCCTCATTTTTAATGAGGAAAACATTACTACTAACATATGTCCGGTTCATCTGTTCACTCGTGAAATCACCTCATAGCCGAAGCTACACTAGATTAACTCAATGTGAGAAAAAAAATAACTCATAATTATTCATCAACCACATCCTCATGTCAAGTGGAATCAAACACCAAAAGACAACGGTCTTCAAATAATAAAAGCTGACAGACAAGTATCGCATCTCACAGTCCTGTTCGCTGACATGCATACTGAAAAAGCACTTTTGCTATCATTACTGACGGCACAGCAGGGGTTTTTATCAGTTTATCAGTCCATCAGCGCTATTAAGGAAAAACTGCTCACTAGATTTGAAGTTCATCAAATCTTTGAAAAATAATAAAACAAAAAACAAAGCATTTTTTCACACCAGTGCATTACTGTGGTAATCTATGTCAGAAAATCCCACACCAAACACATGTGGATGGTCAGTCAGATGACCTCTTAGCTGGGAAAGTGGACGCTTCTCAGCCTTGCTGTTTAGTCAGTGGTCTGGTTACATGAGAGTAGCCTAAAATCTAACCAAACCCTAAACCCAGTGGTTCTCAGTTTTTCTGAATGATGCTAAAATTGCACTGAGAGTAGCTTCCTAAAAAGTTTAAAAATATGCATAGAAACACACAAGTATACAAATATGATTCTTACAATATCCCAAAACTACATGAATAAATACGTTTATTATTATTAAACAAAATTTTTTACATTTATTCATGTTTCTGCAAGTTCATATGTGACCCTGGAGCACAAAACCAGTCATAAGGGTAAATTTTCCGAAATTGAGATTTATACATCATATGAAAGCTGAATAAATAATCTTTCCATTGATGTATGGTTTGTTAGGATCGGACAATATTTGGCTGAGATACAACTATTTGAACCATTAAAGGTGCAGTAAATGTTTTTGGCAACACTTTAGTTTAGGGACCAATTCTTACTATTAACTAGTTGCTTATTAGCATGCCTATTATTAACATATTGGCTGTTTATTAGTGCTTATAAAGCATATATTAATGCCTTATTTTGCATGTCCATACCTAAACTTAACAACTACCTTACCCAACTACCTAAAGTGTGAACACGGGTTTTAAAAAACGATGTTGAAAAGTGGATCGCTTTCCAGCGCTGGAGATCGAGAAGGCCTGAAAACGGTTGCCGGGTTTGCTTTATTTAGTTTCGATACGCGAGTAATGTTGGTTTTGCCGTGTATCACAGAACTGAGATATGCTGTCATCTTCACTAGTTCGTTCATTTGCATTATTATTTTCCTTCGCTTCAGTTATGATACAGGAACATTTGTTTCCACACCCTATAAAGCCTGGAACGTCTAAACCTTCTCCACCACCTGTTTCAAGCATCGGCTCCCAAAGTGTGTCCAGAAACTGAGAAAACAAACATTTGGTTCCCCTTTTAGTGATTCCTATAACCCCTCTATCATTGCATGTGTTGTATTCACCTTATTTTTCAACACGGAAGAATGTGCGAGACTTCCGGTTCATTAGCCGCTGCAGGGAAATAATGAGAAGAATAACAACGTCTAGTAAACTGTTTGCACTACAAACCAGTAGAGATGTAACGATTCACTCAGCTCACGATTCGATTCGCGATTATTTTTATTTATTTATTTTATTTTACTTTTTTACAAAATGAGATTTAAGACAAATTATAAATTAAATGTGTCCTTTTTTTATTTCTTGGACAAAATGTTGCACATTTGTGAAATTGAAATATAACACTATAATAATATACTAATATAGCTATGAACTTTAATATGCATTATACAGAGGCAAGATGAAAAGAAAAAATAGTTCCCCTCAGACATACATTCATATAAACTCCTACCCCTAATTGAATCGCGATTCGTTTAGCATTTCAACCGATTTGAATAGTCACATATTTGAATCGATTTTCAACCGGCTCAATATGGTAAGACACATCAGTTTGCAATATCAATCAGCAAAACGAACCATTTTATACAGCTAAAAATAGCAGGAAGCGGATGACACCGGAAGCCATTAAATTTACAAATAGCTGCGCCCGCTCTATGGGAAAAATAAGGTGGATAGTGTGTGTGTGAATGTGGGGGTGGAGGCATCAAGATCTGTCCCTTTTTTGGTAGGGACGTGTATGTTTTGATGATTTCAAATATCAACAGCGTTTTCTA